CTTGAGGTTGCTTTTGGATTATGACATGTAAAATACATTTTTTTCAATTTCCACATAGCTTCCTCTTATGCTAATCGAACAACAAATCGGACTTTCCACCTTGCTGCCCTAACGTCAGACAAAGACGTGCTACAAGAGTTGCTTCGAGCTAGTGGGAATGCCCTCCCCATTTATATTGTCACTATCATTGTTATTGGAAGCCAAAGTGCTTTCGAGGCGACAATTATACGCCCTTGATCTCCAATTTGAAGGTGCTGCACAACCTAGGAAGAAAGAGGCTAAGTAATCACGGCTCATGAGGCCTTCATTTTTCCCCTCTCATCCTCGTGTACAAGAGAGGAGGGAAGTAGAAGTGAAAGCACTTGACCAGGAAAATGATGCCCTTAGATCCCAAGTTAGTGACCTCTCTGACGAGTTTGCCACCGAAAACGTTTTTACATAACAGTTTTGTCTTTTGAGATGAATGAATGCGGAATGGAGTTGGACAGGTTGTGTGCTGAGCGATGGACAAGGTATCTTACACATTGAGAGCTTCATGCTATTGCTGGCCTAGAGGTTTGCCTAGGATGTGATGGTGAATACGAAGAAGATGTAGATCAAGATGAAGTTGATGGTAATGGTGATGGTGATGGTGATGGTGATGGTGATGGTGATGTTGAAGGCGATGGAGATGGCAATATTGATGATGATGTGGATCTAGTGATAGGCAATGATGGTGATGCTGATGACGATGTGGATCCAATAATAGGTGGGGGCAAAGATCATGGAGATGCTCACTAGGGCTTGTAGATGCTCTATTTGGATCTCGGGTTTTTGGATTTTTTTGGAATATGTTATAGCTCGATGAAGCTCTTGGTATGGTTGAACTGGTGGAGTTGTGGTGCTTCTTTTTCTTCTTCTATTGTTTGTAGTCCTTTTTTTGCACTTTAGAAAGGTGAGTCCCTCCCCCTTCTTCAACTTATATCTTAGTTGTTGGGAGCGGGAACGGGTGCAGGTGCGGATGTGGGTGCGAGAGCCCTGGATTGGCAGTAGGCTAAAGG